AGAGCAGGGCGGATATCAAATAGCACGCGCCAAGCGGTCCATACAGTCCCTGCCAAAATCGGACTTTTCCAAATCTTTGCCCTTGCCGTCCTTGATTACTGAAGCACCATTTACGGAAAGATGTGTATCGGTAACAACAGAGCCTTGGAAAACCTGCGAATATCATTCATTAAGTGTTTAGTAAAGCACCCACTTTGAGCGATCAGGAATGCTGCCAGCAGCTTCGTCTCGAGCCTCTAGTTACGACGACAGAAGCACAACTTGAGACCTCTGAACTGCAACATTATTTCACTCGGAGCTTCCGTCACAAGACTTGTAAGCTAATTATGTGAAAAACCAGGACAGCTATTCGATATTGTTTCCTCATCGTCCTGTGGAATAGTATACCAGTCACTACCAAGTCTTGTGCATATGCAATAACATTCCGCATTAATCCTGGAAGTTTGCTAGACCATACTTCAATAAGGACCATGTTCTCATCAGGAAAATCGTCGAATGAGTTCTTCCACGATGGAACAAGGAACATAAATCCAGTGGGAAAAGATATTCCACGAAACTCAGTACCAACGAAAATCATGTATTTTAGAATGTCTTAAAAACACGGACACTACTGAATACATATCTCACTCACGTATGGGTATGTTTATGACTGTTGTGTTCAGTTCAGTTGAACAACTATGATCTGAGCACCGAAGTGCGGTGGATCCAGTTGCCACGACTCACGCCGTAAGAACAACAATAAATCACGACGGCAGGGTAGTGGGTATTGGTGCGAATAGAATGTAGAGAAAATAGCAGCAAGAAGGAAATGCGTTAGTAATCAGAATGGAACGATAACTAACAACCAGATAAAAGAAACCGAATTCAGGAATGCCACTGACTTTAATAATAATAATAATTTAATAATAATAGGGATATTTCTCATCGAGTGACAAACTGTGGCCATATTTTACAGATTATTTCATGCACATGCATAAATGATAAACGGATGTGTGATTTTCATAGCTTTTGCTGTTTTATCGGTTTGTATTAACTCACAGGTGTGTTTCAACGCAGTGTGCACTAGTTGGAATAGTGGATAGTAACAGCACTAGGGGTGTGTCACACAGTATGAAATTATATTTTTGTTTCACTCATTATATGTTGTTTGACCCTTCTTGGTACAAATCATCGTGATCTCTCATAATCGTGTTCCAATCTAGGTAAGTGGTGAGCTTAACGCGAAAGGCCGTTGCACTTTCACACGATCTGATTGTGATTAGGAGCTTATTCCACAGGACAGCATATCTGATAAGGAAAAAGCTAGACCGCAGATTTACCCTGTAGCTAGGTACAATCAGGGTAAACTTATTGCATAGTTTCCTTGTCGAACTATATTGTAGTTCTAAAGAGGGCAAATAGCATTGGGCGTTGTAATGAATCATGTTGTACGGAAGCATCAGGTTATGTCTCAATCTTCGTAGCCATAGCGGATCGAGCTGGAATTGTTGTTAGCGCTCCCGATAGTTCTTAGTGGATGTTTTGTCTAGCAGACGTTTGGTAAATGACCTTTGTATACTTTTCTCATGCTGCCACAAATGATACTGCAGTATGATAAAATGGGGCGAGTGAGGATTTTGAAGAGTTCTACTCTGGCTTGGATCTTATTCAATATATTAGCCATTGATTTTCTGGCCCTCGCCAGCTGGTATTCCACTTGTTCAAAAAAGTTGAAGGTGCAAGAATACCTGATTCCGAGATCGCGAGTAGACAGCTGTACACAAAGGTGTTCGCCGTTGAGTGTAATTGATCCCTCCGGTACCGAACAGCCGCAATACATGGTGCTAGATTTTTCGCCGAGAGCTTCATCATCCAGGTGTCACACCATTTCTCAAGGGAGTGAAGGTCTTCCTGTGTGAGCAGTAGTGTATCTTAAATTTCAGCTCGTCGGAATTTGTAGACTATCTTGATGTCATCTGCACTGATGTCATTGACATAGACAGTAACGGACCAAGTACACTCCATTAAATAACACCACTAGTGGCTAGACGTGGTGAAGAGTGGTGGTCGGCTATGGTAACTAGCTGAGAACGGCCGCTCAGCTATGACAATAGCCAGCCTAGGTGTGGGTCCTGAATTCCAAAGGAAGCAATCTTTTTCAGCAGCCGTTTGTGGGGCACTCGATAGAATACCTTTTCCATGTCCAGGAACAGAAGTTTGATTACGTATCCTGAGTCAATAGAGTCCGAAACATGATTTAGATAATGTAATTGGCAGGTTGTGCACAATCGTTTATCCAAGAAACCATGCTATGACCTGTCTATTAGCTCCAACCAATTGATGAATTTCATCACACCATTCTTAACCAGGTTGTCTGATATTCTGGCTACTACAGGGGTGTGTTGGATTGACCGGTAATTATTAATTTCTTGTTTGGAGCCATCCTTGTGACGGGGTATGATGAGCGATGTTTTCCACTGGTCTGGAAAGGGTAAACATGTTCAGCAATAGTAACGGCATGTCAGGCCCTTCTAGTTTTATGACGGCAGGTGGGATGCCGTTGGAATCCAGATGGGTAGACGGTTTAGTAGAATTCATTAAATGTTGGATAGCAATGATAGAAATTTCAATGTTACACAGGGCGTTAATTGTTCGCATCCCAATGCATGCATTTAACGGGGTCATCTCCAGACTCATGCAGGTAGCGAAAAATGAGGTAAACGCTTCGCAGATGTCGACTGGATCATGAATGTACTGTCCGTCTGCATTAACCAGTTCATCGATTAAGTGGGTGTGGTTATTAGTTCTGCGACGCAGAATTCTAACAAGTTCCTTCGTTTTGCCTGTCGTTCGTAGGGCCATTTATCCTTCGTGTATCCTCTTCGTCATTTGTATGTGCTTGACTCTGTTAAGGATGTTGTGCAACTACTGTAAAAGCAAGGTGAAATTTCCCGTCTCTCTGTATGCAGCAATTAGGCTTCTGCGTTTCCGGCTGACTGAACGCACGATTGCGTCTTTTTAGACACGTGTGACCCCTTGTCTTGGGGAGTAAGGACAGCAGTGGCCTGATGGACCCGATGGTAGAAATAGTCTACGGTAGTGCACACATTTTTAGAGAGAAAGAATGCATCCCAATCGGATAAATTGCTGATATTGCCTCATTTATCTTAAGGGATACATATTGCGGAATAAAGTCGTGTTTGATGGCCAATTTAACGCAGAAAGTGAATCGTGCCATCTTATGATCACTACCCAAGAGTTTATCTAATACCTCTGCGCATTCGTGACCCCCAAAGTGGATATCAGGTCGAGTATACTGGTCGCTCTTGTTGGCTCAGTAACCCACTGTATCCACCCACCAATTCTGAGAGAGGAAAGGAAAACTGTATGTATAGACGAAAATGGTTGAGAGGACCAGTAAATCTTTGGTAGGTTAAAATCACCATCAATTATCTTCTGTCTATGTGTCATCTCAGCAGCCAACTCGAAAGCTGAAGTGATGATGTTAACACTCGCAGTTGGCGGGTTGTAAACACATTCGAGTGAAATATGAGAACCGGTTCTTGAGACGGACAACCAAAGAGATTCGGGAACATTTATTAGTTGTGGATGATCAAGTTCTGCTGCAAATGTATTGTAAGTATATCATGCATCCACCTCCTTTGCCTGTACTGTAATCTTTTCGGAAGAGCTGATAATCAGGAATTATCAAGGTATCAGGGGAGCACCACGTTTCACTAATGAGGATTGCTTGTGGGTCGTTGGTATGCGCAAGCATGCCTAGGAAGTACAATTTGTTGTTGATAGATCTGGAATTAAGTAGAAGTATAGAAACCAGACTATTGGGTATGGGGTCATCCTGTTGCAGTTCGTCGTTATACGCATTGTTTTAGATATTATGGACGCAGGAGATATGAGTGGGAGTACTGGGGTCGAGTCTGCTGCCTAATGTATGACACGGTTTCCATCCATTGGTGTAGATCACCCCGAGGCCCCCATGCACAAAAGCAGCACGTACCAGTCTGACGATGTCTCTTAGTCAACTTCTTCAAACTTCTGTGCAACGTCATGGACTGGTCATCTTGCGGTTTCGCCTAACTTGGTGCAGCGACGGCGTATAATGCACGCCGAAGAAGCCAATCAGCGGGCATACGGAGGACATGGCTTGGCCAACGCAAGCGAGAGAGGAATCAGAAGGCATTTTGCCAAAAACGGACTGGTGTACCTCAGTATTGCTCACCCGATGTTCCCATCAAACGTGAGCAGTACTTCGTAAGCATCGATGGTCAAACACAGCCAAGTGTTTAATATCTTCGCCGCGAACTGACCAGGTCTCTGGTCCACAAAATAACACAAGCCTTATCGCAGCGTTATGCACTTCACTTTTCACTGACAAGTTGATATCCCACTGTCTCTATAGATGGCCGAGCCTCTTGGTCATGTTAAAGATACATCACGCATGTCCGAAGAATACATGTGTTGTTCAAACTTTCATGATACTAACACAGCTTTCAATTGTCGTCTATACGAATTATGATTTCCAGTTTTCTAAACTTTACTCGGTGCTACTTCGGCTGATTGACCTACAGGAAATGCGAAGAAGGTTCTCTAGAAGCCTAGTCCGAGGATCTGAGTGCTGTCGTGTCTTTCGTTGTACCAATGAACTACACCGAAAGCCTAGTATATGCCAGCATACAACTGCCACAAAACTGCTACGTTGCAATATATTAGCGAATCCCCAACCAACACGTTATTGCTACAGTGCGTTTTGAGAGTCTAACTGACCATGTTAAATGATGCGTGCTTCGCCAAACTAAGATCACGCGCACTTCTTCCATTTACTTGAATAATCAGCAAATTTGCTATCCCCTTGTGTACGACTTGATCGAACCAATAACTCGGACCGTGTCCAGCATCTGGGGAATAAACAACTTACTGATTTAATTTATTTAACGAAAGTATACTGCCGACTTAACGCTTCTATTTACTTATTGCATCATTTCATTTTTCCTGCATACCAGGTGTCAGTTCCATTACCGGGTGTCGACCAGAGGGCTCAAATTTTATCTCTCCGGCTGCGTGATGAACCACTCGCCACTGGATTGACCTATGATGACATCCAAGAAATTGCCATTCGAACGAATGGCCTCTCTGGTAGCGACTTGGCTGAATTATGCCGTGAAGCCGCCTTCTGTTGCTATCGAACGGAGTAAGTCATGGTGTCCGACCACTAAGACCAACCACCACAACTTCCCTTTCCCGGCTACTGTCCTACTACAGCGCCTAACGCACCGAGGAACTGATTGTTGATAATCCGTCTACTGCAACTGCTTGAATATTCGGAACTTTCGAAGTGTCGTTCCCGAGTTTCGGCACACTTCGGCACCGATTTAGAATGTTGATTTTGTATTGAAAAATGTAAACTGTTAGCGAACCCATTGGTATGACACCGATTGCAAGCAATCTAATACTGTCTACTCAGACAGCTAGACCACCACCTGTTGTCCTGACCTCAGACACAGTGTTGTGAGTCCAGTCTCGATCAGGTCTGTTTTATTTTCAAACCAATGCTTTTTACGACGAACAGATATCACCTGCCTGCTATCATCTATTCCACAGGCTTTGTATTGCCTGGTATTTCGGAGATGTTATGTTTTCTTTGTGTAGCGTTTCAAAATTGTTGACGATTGTGGATGAGTGCACTATCCCAGGGTGCTAAATTGGTAACTCATTACACAACGTTCCCCGAAACCACTGATTTTCAGACTTGTGTTTAGGGACCATGGTAGTCCCACAGATAGATCAAAGCCGCAAACACTCGTCATTTGCCACAGATCATTAGCACTGTTGGCTATTTTCGAAGTGTACAACGTAGACGGGGGAGCGTACACGTGGGCAAACTTTGAGGTCTTTAGAAGTAGTATGGGCTGCCCTGACTCGATGCTCGTTGTTTTCAATGGTGGGTCTCTATCTTTGACATACAGTCGAACACAGTGCGCCTTTTGTTCCGTGCTCAGTGTATATTTGAGCTACATTCAGCAGATTTTCTCCTGGAGTTGTGATTTAATCCGCTCGACCGATAGTCGATGTTTGTCCTCAACACATCATCTCGTTTTGAATATGGCTCACCGCGTTCTCGTTATTCACTGTTGCAGATGGGCATAGTTATGGACCTGCAAGTGTGCTTATCTGGCCCGGGCTTGAAGTGCAACTTTTCGGACAGTCTCTCGGCGCTATGTACATCACACCCGTTATCGTCCAGCTCAATAATACGCTTAACTCACATAAGCTATTCATTCCCTTCCTGGTAACCCTGCGGTGCACTAAGAACCCCAATAACATATTTCCACGAATTGTGAATCAGCTGTCTTTTAGCATGATCCCCTTAAAGACTGCTTTTATAACAAGACACCGCAACCACGTTTGGCGTAACGGTGTACTGCTGTTCATCGGATGCATATAATTTCCTGGTCCTTTCGCTTTTATCGACGCGTAGCATTTCAAGGTGGTATACATAAACATAGCATCCTTGCAACAGGCATTCGTGCTTTTATGGTCTGCTGAATAGAACGCCTTCATCCGTTCAGAACATGCACTATTCACAGACTGTCTATTTTTATGTGAAAATCAGTTTCTATATGACCCCATTGTCTGTCAAATGACAGATTGCTTACTGTCGGCCTTTCTCTTGGTTCTCTGGTCCCGTTCATTAAGCGGCTAAGCGAAGCAACTACTCACGTACAGCATAACGACTCTAGGCCGTGCCAACAGCCCGGACAGACGATCCACCGAACGTGCGATCAAATGACCAACTACGGAACACAACTGCGATATGAGTGATTGGCGAACTCGGGTAGGTGTCGACCGTGTGAACAAGGTTGTACTCGGACACGTGAACAGCCGACCAAATATGTGAGTGGCTAGCAAGGTCGAGTATCGACTGAATGAACGGGTGCTGTGCCAAATATGGCGGCCGCGGCAAAGCGGAATGCGCTCACATTGGTTGAGGTCAGGACGCCGAAGACGGGGGATCATGGATTGGTGGCATCTGTATCCGGATTCGCCTGTCATTGTGGCCTCCATAGGACAGCCACAGGACGCTTGCGCCTACAGAGAGACCATGGGTGGCTTGCGCTGCACCACTCACAGTTCCACCCACACACCTCGTATCCTGTGTAAACCCGAAGGAATAAGACCGGGAGGCATGCAGATGGGAGCCACGTTTCATCAACGGAGCCGGCCCACACTCCTTCAACAAGGAGAACAGATGCATTCCGGCCTAACTGGGTACTCATGCACACCAGACGTACACAAGGCGGTGGCTGGGCCGTAGCCCGTTCCACACAGGATGGAACCACTCTTTCAGCCTAGCACCCTCACGAGGACGGTGCACTCCGTCCCCCCAGCAACGACCAACTGTCTGCTGGAGCCAGCAATCGAGGTGGAGGGTAGTAGACAGGCAGGCACCTTGTCAACATTCACATCAGGCACGGCCACACCGGGGACCTCAAACAACTTATAGTACTGAAATGCAAGATCACTCAGCGCGCAGGCAAATGTACCGCATACGCCACTTTATTGACCTGGATTAGTAAATCGAATGGGAGCGCACGCATCATGCTTCTATTCCGCGTGAAATAGTGCCTTCTCCTGCACCTGGGCAACAGACCTTTTGATCAATCCACGGAATTCGCATCGATCAACCTTGCCTTGGATTCGTAACACCTGGAGTCAACATTAGTTTGTCATAGGCTCACCTTCTTCATGTTCGGGTAATGTTCTTTTCGGTTTGCCCCAGTGCCGCATTCCTGCACTAAGTTGGCCGTACACAAGCGGTATGAGTATCCTCGTCGAATGGATGGATCGGTTTCATCAGTGTCCAATGGCATTTCGAATGCAACATGTGCACATGCGTTTGTCCAAACTGAAGTATGAACTGCCACAAACTGGATAGCGACACATTAGGCCTCATGAACTACTACAAACGTGTATGGGTTTTGTTTGGAGGTCAAGCTAACGGCCACTTTCGCAGGCACGAGAATAAGTACCCAATACGAACTGTATTTTTTCTTTAACATATAGACGTGCAGAATTAAATCTTGGGCATCCATATTTGAAGGAACCCGATATAGGAATAGTGAAGCAACTACCATCAGTACGGTTGCTAGGTAGAATGATAAATAAACAAGTGGTAGAGGAAAATAGCGTGTCCTTAAGTGTTTCCGTCTATAAGTACAGTCTGGTTTGTGTATCTGATGGGGGAGATCACACAGCGTGCGAATGCGATTGGGTGTTCACTTCAGTCACTCCATGTCACCGATCGTCTGATGCCCAAGGTACATGCAGATTCTAACGAATGCAACCTTAAGCATTGACAGGTGGCAATACCACATATTCGCCGCTTACGGCACGACAACTACCACAGTACTACATCAACTAAGATCCGCTGCCCACTGTCAAACATGCGGCTTTCTAAACAGTGTTCGCATTGTTGTGCAAATGTCTGTCATCCAAGTACTCAACCGTTTGTACATACCGCTGTGTACTCTGCTGTGGCCATAAGCTATTTGGGGTGCAGCCACTCGGTGCTCCTTATACGATTGTTGCTATGTGCCGTCTGGTGAGTAATACCATGGAGCTTACATAGTGATGTGAATCGCGGCCGAATAATAATACGAAGAGGAAGATGCCGCAGCTCACCGTCTCGGTATGTCACCGTACTAGACTTCACTTGAGAAGGTAGCAAAAATATCATAGGTCATGATGAGTAGTACGTCAGTGTAGTGGGCAACATTGTGAAGTCATCGGGAAATACAACCGAGTTAAGTAAGCCCAATAAAGGCAGGTTAGATGTGGCTCATCCGTTCTAGGCAGGTGCAATAAAGATACTACATTGCATCAAGTCAGTAATTAATCATCCTAGAGTGAAACTGTATCCAAGCGCGGCTTACATGATCGAGAGAGTAAGGATGACACAAAGAATGTGACGGAGATGCAGTACGCAACTTTACAAATTAGCAGAGAAATGGTGCGATTAAGTCCATTGATTTTTACAAGCTCAGCTAAATTAAAGTCCGCGGTGAAAGAACGGGAACTATAGCTATGCTCAATTTAACGGAGAAGTAGAAGCACAGTGGAAGAGTGATGATTAATCGTTGGTGTATACTGTAAATGCCGTCTTTTCTATATCAGTGCGTACGCACTGATAATGTCACCTGGATTGGTGACGAAACGTTTGCAACAAAATTGCCAAGCTCGGCGAACAGTTCAACTGCGTTCTGAACAACTTGAGCTACCAGTCTTCAATTCTATAGGCTATTCGTGTCAGAAGGTACGCCAGAGCCGGTCTGATCGTCTCTTGTCCGAGAGGTAAGCGAGATTTCACATGTATGTGGAATCACCAGTCAGTCGTGTGTGACTACTTTTGGTCCCTTTGATCACCCGTCCTCTGCGCTAGCGTATCCCGACCATTTCATCAGTGCCGATAGTGTTACGTGTGTCCAAGTATTTCGATTCGGATGACACATCGTGTTGCTGCTGTCCGTGAATCAAAGTTGATCACTTGTCTGAATCTTAGTACGCAGTACAGAGACCTGGCCATATGGACATCACATTTGCAACCTGCAATACATCACGGTGTCACATGAGATGAAATATGATCCATCCGTCAAGTGGGAACGTAACGAGACATGAACAGAGGTTAGCGCTAGGTGTAATTTGGGAGAGCCCCATTTTGACATCGAGCCGGCAGATGATGGTGTCACGTGTGAAAATGCGATCAGTCTGCCAAGCGGAAATGTGGCGCTTACAAGTGTTTCTAAATGGCTACCACTTAGTCATTCAACATGCAGACGAGCAGCACCGCCCGCTGCGAGTAGAGATATCAGTTGACATACTACAAGGTCCCTGGTTCGAGTGCTGCAGTGTTGCGAGCGGGCATTTGTTCACACTTGTGTATGGACTACCACAAACTGAATGGAGAAACAGTAACCCTCATGAACAATAACACTACGTACGTGCATGAGTTTGGATTGAATGAAAGAATAACAGCCATATTCCTCTAGTTTTGGAAAATCGCACGTACAATTATAAGCAACCAATACGACTGTCGTTGGTTAGTTAACATCTAAGCATCAACCTAAAAATGGCAGCCTTAAATTTAGTCAGAAGTGTGGGCATCAACAGTAGAGACAGATATAGAAATAGGGAAGCAAATGCCATCAATGGGGTTACCAGGTGTAATGATGCACAGATAATAGGTATCGTAAAACAATGGTGACTTATCGTTAGTGTGTATTGTAGATGCCATCTGCTATGTGCCTTAGTAGGCGATGATATTACACATTCTCTGATGGGCTCTTTGACGATATCACAATACTAAAACATCTAGTAAATCCCGCTGCTCCCTGTTCTACGTTTGGTTCTCGAAACTGTTTTGGTAAATTTACTAGAAGTAGGTTGCATAACATCTAATTACTCAACCGTAGGCAGATGTGGCTGTATACTCTACTGTGGCGATTTGCTATTTATGTAAGCGACAGATTCGCTTGGGGCTTGAGTGACACGTAACAACTCCCGGGTCCAATCAAGAAACGAAGCCGAGACGTTATCTCAGTCAGGGGGGAGGATCACGGTTACTATAATCAACATGTTCGGCTGACCTATGAATAGAACCATTCCCTTACACGGAATACACAGTCGACCGTTTTGACTTCTGGTTTCACGGTTGGGTGTCAGACAGAGCAGACAAAACGCCCGACCAGTTATGATCAATTGAATACAAGAATTATTTATGTACTGGCAGCAAACGTCCGTTTGTCAACTGGTCCGACGATGTACTGACAACTGTGATAATGGGTGGATTCACAGGTTGAATAAATTCATTGAATTCTCTTTTGCTTTGGAATAAATCCGTTTGATCGAGTGTTGAGCAATCGGTATGTTCCTATACCGTTGGAGTTGGTCGGGCGCTATGAAACTCCAGGGAATGTTTTTCGAAATCGGAAGTGAATTTTCGCCAATCAGCTACAGCAACAGATGCGAAGGCTGCACAAGGTCGCTTTGGAAATCACTTGGGTATCAATTCTAGTACGGTATTGAGTTTCTTGCCAGAAGCCGGTATCCGTACACGGAAATCACGAGCTTTCCATGCGCTCGAGTTAGTGTACGTTATTCTCGCTTATCTTCACCAGCATTAGGGAAGTGGTTTGTGTTTTATGGCGGGCCGTAACCTAAAGGTAACGAACTTGCCTTGTGATCTGGCGGCGCGGGTTTGAGCCTGCGTAGGGGCAAAGCAACCCTCGCAGTATCCTTAGCCAATGTGCAACCGGTGGTGGTTGCGCGGCAGCGAAGCGTCGTTACTGACATACCGGCGTACTGCGGATGCCCTCCTCGATGTCGGCGCTCCCTGCTTCCTTTCAATCGCATGGAAATCGTTACCTTCGGAATTAGGTGAAGGACGCTGATCTACTCCTGGAAGGCTGTGCCGGCACTCATGAGCGTCCATCCCTTATTACCCAAGCAGACTTTTAGTGGTATTTTTCTCTGTAAAATGTAACGCAAGATTTGCAAACAATTTACATTGCTAGTCTATCTGGCTTAGTTGGACAATTCGGTGTGGAAGATGAGGGACCTGAGCGCATTCTTATAGTCTGCAACGAAACATATCAGTTTACCGATCGGAAAATAGGCCCACGCAGGTTTGTGCGGGAAAAAAGCAAACGTACAGTGGAATGGCAAATTAATGGTCTCAAATCACCATGGCGCAACAGTATGTCACCATGTGTTACACTAAATATTTCTGGGTACTTATTTGGTCATATGGACCTCACTCTAGTAACATATACAAAGCGGAATGCACCCATTGTGTACGAAATTAATCGCATTGTTACCCTCAAATGTGACATGTTTGCTCTGAATACACTTAGCTGACTCGATCAGGTGATGCATCACTGGTCCTGCACTACCAAAGTGGCTACTGTTCTATCCCATGTACAAATACCTATGTTGTACAAAATTGGTAGTCTGAATAGTGAATGCATGCCCTGTGCACTCGTCAGGAATAATTGCTTTTCGCTCTGGAATTTCGATGTAAGGGTTACTTAGATCGAAGGAATAAACTCACGCATCGTATCAGTTATTGGAGTGGAGCGAAACACTTTTGTGCATAGACTCGTCTCCAGATCTACATGCGTGAGTTCCACACACACGATATACTTCAATGACTTGTCTTCTCCAAGTTTGTTTAAAGCCGCACCCAGAGCAGGCGAGATTTCCAAATGATCACTGACTCGGTTTCCTTATTACTCCTCACTCCTTTCACCATGCCATACGGATGCAGCAGCATTCGAACAAATTTTCTCTAAAGCACGTGTCTTCAATTTGCCCACAAATAACGTTTTCTGCATTGATTTTTATAGAAAACTGCTTGAAAGTCCTGCCAATATACGACTAAGGCGAGAACACTTCTTGATCGCTTTGGAACAGTTCCTCAGCAATCGTGTTCACTCATCAAATTCGAGGATTGCTCACCCTGCACCGCTGGACTGAGAGGACTACACGCCATGTCTCCCATCCTGTGGTCAGCAGCAAATGTAACCATAGAGAACGAAGAGATTGGACCTACATTCCACACTTTGTTTTGAACAAAATTCACTCTCTTCGGATCGTGCAATACAACTTCTGCATACTCTTAACCTTCCTCGTACCGTTATTAATTATTCTATCGATGAAGTGGATTTGTGGAAATAGCCCCTCAATATTGGCGACATTGATGAGGCGTTCTTGTGCCAATAGGCTGAAACCCATAAGTGCAGGTAGCTTAGCCATAGATAACGTTCCAGTGTTCATATGCCCCAATGGTGATTTGGTGTTGAATGACTAAGATCTCAAGTGAGACTAAGGCTCGATGCCGGTCTTGGCACTTTAACAGTTTCCAGACTGCGGTACACCAGTAACGTGAACCGACGATTCGTTGCCACAAATGGTGCGGTCACTGCCGTGAGTGTTGTATCCAAATTAATTGATCGAGTTTATATCCCTGAAAATAAAGCGACCTGATCTCCGATCCCTAACTTTATCAACGTCTAGAATGCATTATAATACATTCCGTAAGCAACTGAGCTCATTGTAAGAAAACAAACTACGTCCACAGAGTCCTCCGACGATTACGCCTTTAGGCCAATCACAGTTTGACATGGTTGCGTCGAGAACTCAATGACGCTCGTGCGTCCATTTCCCTCCTTCCATATGTTTCCTGTCCGTCTTAAATATTTTTAATTATCTCGTTGTCAACTGTTATAATCGTGGTAACGAGAGTCATGGGAAAGCAGTCCAATTCACTTCCGTGCCCGGATGATCTATCATATTACGTTAGGCAAACAACACCGCACCCTGCGGACAATGTGCACACACACTGGTCAATCAATGGTCAGTCACCTTATGTAATACTGGCACGAGATTGGCTTCATAAGAGGAGACTTCATGTGCCGGTATCAGATACAAATCCTTGGGCTGGTCATGAGGGGTTAGTCCACCAATTGTAGCGAGCGAAAGTAGTGAACCAGCAGATCCACCGGCGTTACTCAGGGCTCTCTTTAAATACAACGGCGTTTTGTAGGCACCCATGGTGGAAAATGAGTGACATATTATTGCTATCGACTGTCATTGGTCGTACTCCAGACGCAGTGCTTTGTGTTATGCTTGGCTGGCAAGTCGATGCCTCACTGCTGCTGTAAGCAACAAGGGCATTAGAAAGTAATCCAGGATGGGCACAACAAACTAGAAATGATACAACAGTCAAGATGGGTGAACAGATTAGCCTGTTACGGAATGTGAAAATCGATCCAACCTCGAGATAGCGTGCGGCCTTATGTGATATGTTTCGGACAACAATCAACTCCTAATACTACAAAATCGTGATTATAAGCGAAAGCAGGCAGCTTCACAGGGACTGAAAACGTAGGCGATTCGCGGTCTTTCAACACAGCTTTATCGGAATCGAGGTAGGGGCTACAGATTGACTGTCGTAGATAACGATTTCCCTTATTTGAATCCATGACAGGGTTTCTTCCAGTGGCGCGGCGCGTTCTTCCTCACTGCAGAGTTGCACTAGAAACTTCTTCCGAGCGTTCTGTAGTAGTGAGGTCCAATTCTCACTGTAGGCAGTTACGTTATTGTTGCATAGAGAGCTGTTTAAATTGTATGGTCTGAACGAGTTATTTATTGAGTGAGACTGATTGCGATGAGATGGTGGCAATGTGCCCTACACAATAAATCTCTGTCAACGAATTGGGAAGCCTCATCTGGACTGTAGTTGAACGGCTGTACGTTAGTTCAATGTTCTTGACTAATCTAAGCATAGTGATGAGATTTGGTGTAAACTTCCAAGAAGTGACTACTCTGGCAGTTGCACGGAAAGCATCCGTCTGATGAAGAGATACTAAAACAGATCGACCAGGTTGGGGAAAGACACACATCATCCATATCCCAAGCCAAGAATTCCTCAAAACTTCCAAGATCCGTCAACAATCAAACTACCAGGGAAAACTAAGGAGACAAGCCCCGTTGGAGGCAAACAATAGGACCACTACTCTTCTCTGTACAATGGGACTACCCTATGCATTATCACAGTCTCAGTTTCCAAGAACACGCCGTAGAGGCCGGAGCTTGACTTGTAATCTTGCGGCCCGGGTTCGAGCCTGCGTAGGGGTACGGCGACCTTGGCAGTATCCTTAGCCCACTTGGGACCGGTAGTGGTTGTGCGGCAGCGAAGCGTCAGTACTGCGAAGAGGAATTCCAAATTATAACGTTGGTTCCCAAACCAGAGGGACATTCTGGACGGACCACCTAAGCTGTTTGCTGTGAACCTGAAGATTCGATCCAATCCAATCTTCCGATGAGATTTTGTAGCTGCTAGTAGGATGTAACATCTTTCTTACGCATTAAAATTGGAAATAACCGTGTGCTTCCAACAGCGTATATAGATCGCAAATAATCAACTCGAAATACTAAGCAAGATCCAACTTGTGTGGATCACGAAATATTCACTAGGCCTGCCGCATCTTGTGTACAAAGGGACATCTTTTCGATCATGGACAGCGTGAGCACACTGCTGAAGATGTGGTTGGTAATGCGTGTTGTGGTCACATGAGACAAGGATTGAAAGTAGACTCGTATACATGCCATACTAAATTTTGACACCTCCTTTTCAAACGTTGCGACTTTTAGGCGCACCCTAAGTGGTAACGACAAACAGGCGCGGGATTAAAGACAAGTCTATCCATCCTGGGTGGTGCTGCTGCCGTCTATTTCGCCCTACTAGTGATAAGGACATTTGCATTTGTTTACCTTCAAAAAATCGTGGATGAGCTCCATGGGTTACGCTAATCAAGTGTATGCGCACTTCAACAGATCTGTCGCAAGGTATGCTACGATCTCAACACTGCCCTGTGTGAATGTGTCTCGCAGTTCATTCCCATCAGCCAGTCTGTTCGTGACTTAGGTTTAAGATATTCTAGTTCGTTAAACTTTAGCGAACATACAAATCATATAGTGAAAAAGGCTAAGCAGTCGGTCGGGCTCATATGCCACCTGCTAACCTTGAAAGAAACCAGACTAATTGCTTTCAAAATCAGTATCTGGCCTTTGCTTGAATATTGTTGTGCTGTGTTCAGTAACTTGCGAAAGGCTGACTTGAGAGCCATTGAAAACGTCCAACGCGCCTTTACGAAGCGCATATTTGGCTGTTCAACCGCTCTTTCATACCGAGATAGGTGCAAGCAATTGAATCTTGAACCTCTGTGGTTACGAAGAATGCAACTAAATCTGTGCTTCCTCCACAAACTCGCGTGGCGGAAAGCATATATTGGAACCTATCAATTGCACTTTCGGGAAAACACCACTTATGAACTGCGAGATAACGAATGCATATTCTATTTACCTAAATTCAAGAGCAGTCTAAGGAGAAATTTCTATCTTCTTAGGTATGGCTCCATTTGGAATAAGCTGCCAAAAGAGATTAGATGTATTGAACATTTCTGCATGTTCAAGAAAATGATAAAGGCTTATCTGTCAACGGACAGGACGAAATGGATCTTAAACATTCAACTTGATGATGAAAAGCTGTATGAAGAAGGGCCGGATCATGTATGATACCGGAGAACATCAACTCTACTGCACCAGAGAAAACTTGATCAGCTAGGATGAGCTGATACAAACCGCTTCTTATGCTATTCCTTAACGCTACATTCCATGCGGTTTTACTCCCTTTAAACTTAATTCATATCAGCTGTCTTCTGTTTAAAACCGAGAGCAAAATTATTTACTGGTGTGACGTCAGGAGCTATTTTCGTAATTTTCCCCGCAAATTGATTAATTCGTAATATTGTTCTGCGATCCCTTTCGCTACATTTGTTCTCCAGTGCTAATCATTTCCCCCTCTTTTCTGAAACTAACAGTCCAGAAACATATACTTGAATTCAAGGATGGCAATAACTGATTCCCTACGCGACTTTTGCCTATGGACAACTTGTACAGTCATCTGTCTCCGGGTGTCACGCTACACAATTTATCGTATGATCGGCTCGATCCATTTCTACGCCGATGTACAAAACATACCTGCCTATTTCTTACATTAACGATATGGTACCTCTTTCACAGAATTCTTCTTTTCTATATTCTTCCTTATTTCATAGTTGGCCACGACTGGGCTGATCTCCTGTGGTGACGGATTACAGCTTCCAGATTATAAAAGACGTTACCTATGCAAGGCAAATTGCCACCAACTGTCTGGCGTATAAAAAAGTGCCATAATAGAATGATCCGCATGACGGACTGGGCTGAGCCTTCATGGCCCATAATACATGTTCAAAAACAGCTCTAAAATGAACAAAACATATGATATACAGGTGATGGCTCATATGCTACTATGCCACACCGGCACACGGCCAGTTATTGCATGGAAGTGCGAGCGAAACCTTTCGAGGGAATACCTTGCATGGAAGCAGGTCCCCTGGGGATGGTTCCACGAGTGGCCGTATTACTTTAACTGGACATCTGTTTAAATTTGCTTACGTTATTGTTCCTGCTTTTTAATTTCTTTAATGCCTTAATCCTGCCAATTAGTTTAGTACCTGTTTTTGGATCCATTGTAAAAAGCGTGAACAAATTGATTATATTTTTGCGATCTTGTTGTACACATTGATCAGACCACATAGTTGGACTGCACCTCGAAACACCGAGGAATATAACATTTATCATTTATCATTCTGACTTAGATCATCTACCAACCAAATCCAGGGTAGGAACGAAACTCACGGAGTGACCTTAGAAACTATTTGGTCGTCCATTAACATGACGATAATTCAACTTCATCTGGTTCAAACCAAATATAGAATGCTAGTGGAGACAAGGACAAGTGGCAGTTCTTCGACATCAACCACAATGGCAAGTTAAACAAGAAACGTAAGCCGTCAAAGCAATGAGCGGCTAAGTCCTCATGGGAGTACGTGGGTTTCTTTCACGAAAAGAAACACATGACTATTGAACTCGAGCTTTATATCACCATCCTCGAAGTTAACGAAGTGCATTTTGCGAACCACTCGCTCACTTACCGCGCCGGTTTCCAGACCAATACTACTGTCCACCTGTGAGCTATTATTTGCTGATCGCAAGTTCCGGATTATTGATACTGCGACAAATTGGTGAATTGGCCTATTGCTCATTTATGGAGACCGATAGTGCAAAGCGAACACGGCCTACATTGAGTACAAAGATAAGTATGGTCGTTTGTTTTTCACGCCAATGGATAACCTGAGCTCGAACTCGTGCTGAAGCTGTACTTCTCAAAGGACAGTATCGTCAATGTGTTCTGCGCAGATGCTTCGCTACCCTGCTCCTGCCACAGTGTATAAGCACTGGCAAGAACAGAAACCCTAGGGCTGTAAATCTGACGCTTGAGCTGCCACAACATGGATCACGGAATAAATAGTCAGCGTGTTAGCGACATCCTGCAGGGTAGGGGACATCGTTCGACGTCGACAGCCTAAGCCATGTGTCTTGTGTAGCACTTCTTCTTTGGTGATCAGATAGTTAATTGGGACATTGCAAATCGCGCGACAGTGTTATCTGCTCCTTCATAAATGGTAGCCGCAACAAACAAAGCAGATGATAAATATGGAGATCGATGATTTCACCACTATCAATAGAGTGCTTTGTTCCACCAGTGTGGGTTGATCATGGGCAATCAGAGGCTTCTATATGGAGCAACCCCCCCCCCTCCGAAACGATTGAAGTAGAATGGTGTATGTGGGTGACTGGGCTTAAGAATGAGTAAACAAATGACGCGTGCCGGTGATGAGACGATCAGGTAGGAAAGAAAGAAGCGATAGTAACAATAGGAATAAATTTGGATAAAAAAGAAACAATAATCTGGCGAGTATAACACAGATAAAAAATGAACTTGAAGAGCTCGAGATGAGTAGTGAAAAGCAACGGTAATGTACATGTTCATCACATTGGTCAGCATGCATGTTCCAGCAACAAAGCATCTCAGAAGGTCAAGCGAATGATTGGGTTATCGCTGTGAACGCAAATGGAAACAAAAAACACGTAAGACCAGGTAGAAAGTGTGGAGGTACAAAATGACTAAGAGGCGCTTATGAGAATCGTGTTGTGCAACTGACAAGACCGATGCTACGCTACGACATGGTTGTAACAAGTATTCACAGGTAGCAGAGTCAGTGGATGCAATGGCAAACACCGAATGGTAGGGTACTCGCACTGCCTGACTAGTAGGAGAAGGCGAGTGGATATAAATAGGCATTCAATCATTAGGAGCGCATAAGCGAGAACGTTGATCAATTGCCGAATATTCTGGTGGATTAGGAGAAAGGAGTTTTTGCCTCGGTTGAATAAACTCCTTGGGATCTTCAACTATCAACACAGGTTGCAAGAGTCTATCAATAGCGCAAATCAGGGACGAATTAGGGGAGCGAGGATTCGGAGTTCGTGCGTTAGTGAGACGACGTCTTCGGGTAAGAGGAAACAATCGGCGAGGAGAATCACGGTTAGGTGATATACGCCGAGGGAAGTGAGATCTAGATGGACCGCATGGGATTGAATTTGTATTTCTTATTCTGGAATCTCTTGTGAGACGAGCACTGATGCGCCTTTGTTGGGGACGATTTGAAGGTGCATGGGAAGGACGTTTCTGTAAAGAACTATAAGTAGGTGGGAAGGGTGGGAAAACCATTGGTGGATCGTCACGAGAAGGCGATGGAATCACATAGAGTAGTGTGCTGCCGGGAGGATAAGCAAAAGAGTCCAACTGATCCGGGGCCGAAGTGTGCTGCCCTTCTGTTCGTCCGTATCTCGAAGACTGAGTCTCGAGAGAAGTTATCAGAAGCCTTGGTCGTCTAGATTGTTTGGGACCGGAAAATTTTGCGCGTATGCGACGAGACAGAGAAGCTGGAAAGTGGTCGAGTGATGGAAGACTGGGTAGACTTTCTTCTGAGAGGGGATTATCTTCAGGCTGATCTCCAAGTAGACTGGCAGCCGCGCGAGCAGCCGTCCAAGCTACAGAACCGACTCCAGCCTGGGTGAGAATAAGAGCGGAACGGCCAGAGTCGGGAAGGAAGGGGGTAACGGTGTGGTGCAGGTAAGGTCTTGAAGGCCCATTCAAACCTTTGTTGTGGCTGAGATGAGTTTCCTGATTGGCAAGTGAGTGTGTTCCAACAGCAAGTAAGACGTCCGAACCAAACAAACGATTGATGTCACCTGACTGCAAGACCGCCGCAGCTTGACTAGCTGTCGCACTGTCCAATGATACTATGTTCGTGCGCCTTGGGAACGTATGGGAATCTGATCGGGCTCGAGAATGGATAAAACGATAACCCAACACGGAAGTCGATAAACTTACAGATGATCCCAAAATTCCGATGAGAAGGAGTAGCAAATGTATGATGACCTGGCAGGCACGAAAATGCGCATCCGATGAAGTGGATGTAGTGGCGTCGTTGAGCGCTCGCACACGTAGCTGGTTGACGTTGGTCCGATTAGAGGATTGTGAAGGATGAAGAGCATTAAATGCAGTGAGAGCACTGCCAGGAGAAAGGACACCGCCTCCTTGAAATGCATAAGCAAACTTTACAACGTGAACGGTAGATTTGGAATGTGAATTCTCTCTATTAAGGAAGCCATCTTCAATGATACCAGCCACTGACACACCGATGAGTAGGCTAGCGGCAATCGTGACGACTATACACAGAATGAGTAAACCGATCATGGTGCACACAATTGGACGTCGTGCTGTAATCAATCCCTGCGTGCCGGCGAGAAGCATAAGAAAACCAGCCCACATACCAGTGGCCATGTGATAAAGGAAGATAGTTCTGGTGAGCGCCACGCTGGAGAGGATTATTGACGCGAAACCGCACAACATCTGAATGATGCTTAGAACCAGTAGATTCTCGTTCGGTATTCGGCGACGACGGAAGTACTTTATAGCACAGTTACACCACAAAGAAAAAGGCCAGCAGATACGAGAAGAGGAAGATGGACTTACATTTAGTTTGAACATAGTGGACAAACAGTTTTTGTCACAGGTCGGTTTCGAAGTTTTGGAAAGATGGTGACCAAAACAACAGTAAGAAAAGGCACTGTGGTGACTAGTGGTCAGTGGTGATGGCAAACGAAAATCACACACGGTCCCGAGGGATGGGTCGATGAGGTCAGAAGAGGGACAGGCTTGAGGGATCAAGGGATAGCCGTCGTTAATGGACAGAGGAACTCTTCCGCTACGTCCAAGTCTTGGCACAAACCCTCGGTCACCATGCCCGCGGACTGGTACAGTGAGAGTGTCCGTACTTGGAGCAGTAGACAGCGGTTTCGACTGCTGAAACTCAATGGATCGGCATTCGTCGGCGTCAACGAGGCAACTCTGCCGTCGGAAGCAGAGAACCATCACAAAATTCGGGAAGAGCAAGCTGTGGCCACAGATCCAACGCGTCACGCGGCCGGCATAAGAAAGGTTGAAACCCCTTCCAAATGAGATCAGATGGCATCGGTTGAGAATGAAAGATATCACGGGAGCGGACGAGGCTGAAATGGAGCCAGAATTAACGTATAGAACGATAACGAAAGAAAGATCTACAAATCCATCTACCAAATGCAAAAGGTGGCTCAGGCAAGTGCGTATTCAAAAAACACTTGACATTTTCTGCAACTATTAGGGTTTAAGGGACATTCACAAGTGACCGATGTGTGTCAGTTGGTGTGCCACCAACTCAAGCTTTTGTAGTATCTGTAGCTTCAAAGCGATAAAAAATAGAGACGGACCGCTCCAAAGTAGTGTGCTGCAGGTCATTGCTGGCTCGTCCGATCAGAACCGTATTGTCACTGATAAAGGATGTTAACTGTGTAGATCAGAACATGACAAAGCGAGCAAATTGACGCGCACCTCACACTCTTGCAAGAAAGAAAGAAGCAAAAGTGCAGTAGTATTACAATGGTATTCTGTGCTAATGCCTCATCATCATCATCATCATCATACACGTTAGCTAGAGGTGGGAAACACCTCAGCTACTGTGCCACAATGCCTCGCTACCACGCAACCGCAAGCGGCTGTAAGCGGGGTGGAAGAATGCGAACGCACAAAAACCTAGGCATCGGATGGAGCTAAAACTCTGGGCACAAACATCTGAGCCAGTACGCGCTTCGTAATTCCAACCAGAAAAAGGAGTAAAAAACAAGACACCGGCGCAGAGGTATGCAAGTGCCACAGTACATTGTGGATTGTCTTTGCATGGTGATAAGCCACAATAAAATTGCTCTATTATTCGTCTGGTTTGCTGTGAAATCGGAACAGTAAGTGCTACGAATAGAGGACTCCCGCCGTTGACCGACTGCTTGATAATGCCTCAGCGAAGAGTAATGGAAGAAATGGGAGAGTGAACAAGTATTCGATATCCGCGACACGATGCATCAATGAAAACAGTGACGTAGTCACACCAGACAGCGACAGCAGACAAGGATTTCTAAACCGCTAGTCAGAACACTCTGCTAGCAAACAATCGCTTTCACAAAAGAACAAACCAGGAGGAGTACTGACCAAAGTGTGCACCAAATTAATCAGTGCAATCTTAAGTCGAGCAGTGAATATGTCCCTAAGCGCTGCAACACTACACGTATCAAAGACCTCCAGTGCGAAGAGTAGCCAAGTAGAACGCTGAAACTTGACCCGATTTGGTTTAGAAGGATTAAAGTTAACCTGTCACTCCTTTACGTGCGATAAACCAGAAAATTCATGAGCCGAGTTATTCTCTTTAAATGCAACACATCGCGTTACGGAATAGGAAATAAAAAAGCACCCTGCTAAAATTAAAATCGCGTAGTAAAATATGCAGTTCTCTTTTAATAAATATGCAACCGTATGGAACTGTCATTAAGATAGTGCGCGCATGTACTCCGTGATCGAATAAACAAATTTCCCACGATAAGCAAAGCAACTGATCCATTCAAAATATACTAACCAAAAGAAGAGGTATACTGAAAAAGGTCAAATGGCATAGGGTATGGAAATGATGATCACAATCAAAACCGAGTCCGATGAACGACCAGCACACTGACGCTAGTCAACTGACAGATGTAGAAGCTTCAACGGTTTTTGAAACAGCGGTGAAATCCATGGTTTTTGTAGCGGGCGCGATACTACCCGGTTCCCCAGGCCGAAGTAGAATGCTGACTTAGGGGACACCACCCCGAGTCTTTAGCTCTGTAGCTTACCAGCAAGGTAACGAAGCGAATTCAAAGAACCGTGCCCACTGGGAACCGGTGAGTACTTACTCGGTTCACATGCTCGCACTTAATCGTAAAGTGGAAATTATTTACTATTATCAGAGTATTTTTTCTACGTTCACATTTTATCGATACTTCTTCCCTTACCATTGCAATTCAATTAATTATCATTATCTATCCCAGATTTGGCATGTAACTGTCCAAACTAATGGCCTGGAGAATTACGATTTGGCCAGAAATGTTCACGCAGCGATTTGTTTTTTGAGCGGAACTCGCACCAATAAGCATCGCCATGTGACAATATTCCTATTGTAATGAACCGTATCTCATCGAGAGCTGCACTATCTGTTATTAATGTTTTAACATCTTCATATGTATGTTCTCTCCTGTTTGTTGGCCACGAGTGGGCTGATCTCCTGAGATGATGAAATGACGCTTCCTAGCTAATAAATTTACCCATGCAATGTATATTGACACTTGCTTAATGGCTTCAAAGGATAAAAAAGTGCCATACTCGAACTGAGCTGGATGACTTGGTCGTTCGTAATTTATAAATATAAACGGCTCTTAAGATGTGTAAAGGAGGTGCTGACACATGCTATTAGGCCACACCGGCATACGGCCAGATGAGACATGGAATTGTGAATGAAACCTTTCGAGGGAATGCCCTGCATGGAGGCAGGTCTCCAGGGGCCGGTTTCACCGATGGCCATATTACTTTACTTGAACATTCGACCATGACCATTTGTTCCCAATTTAGCAATCCACTTCATTTTATTCTAAAGTCGTTTGTAAACAGCACCAAAAACGTCCAGCCATCCACTTTATGCGATCTATCTGTATCTAGTTGACCACACCACCGACTGTCTCACACTTTATCGAGAAATATACCATTTATTTATTTATTTAATAGGTAGTTAGATCTGGATAAGTCAAAAAAATATGTGGCTAAAATATGTGAGAAATATGTGGCTAAACAAAATGCTAGGGATTGACCAAAGCACAAACAATGAAACGAAGCGAAACAAAACGAATCGAACTGCTAAGTGACGCTCATCTAATGAGCGGGAAAGCTGTGTATGTCGTACACAGCGCAGTGAGAAACAGAATTGGGGACCGAGTGGAGCGAATGTTGTAAAAAAAGGACCGCGCGGTAAACTGTCTCGTTGCCGGCTGAACCGGCATACCCCACGACGTAATTACTAACCATCGCATGTGCAGTGGGGACGTTTGGGTGGCCCAAGTTGCCATGGTTGATACGAGAAAACGGTAGTCGGAAGTTGGACCCAAGTTCATCCGGCAGTCAGTTGACAGAAGGACAGTACCGTACGGTTCAGTTTAACCTGTCAACCGTGATTGCAAATCTTACAATCAGCTAGTAGAAGACAAAAAACAATGCAAAAAAGGATAAAACAAAGTAGAATGGAAGGAAAGAAAACAACCTTAAAGTTGGAGCATTAAGGGAGAAAAGTAGGAGAAATACCGAGTGAGTTGGCAACAAATGCGCTCTTCTCTATCAAGGGTTTGCCCTGTTCCATCTTCTCCCAACGCAGCATACACACGTTTGAATAGGATTAAGTTTTCGTATTCAGTGGTCATCTTTTTACGGAATTATACCCTACGGATCGTGATTCTTGAAATCCATTTGTTTTAGCACTTCTCACAATCATTTTTAAAAGTGAAACCTTGTTGTTTGTAACAAATCGTACTGCTGTGAAATTGCATTCGATAAACGATCTTCTACACCATCCGGAGATCAAAAAGCCGCTCCTACGGGACCAATTCTAAGGAAGCTACGACTCAATTTGTGGCTTTTGATTACATTCGCATATCGGTGAAATAGCCACCGGTATTCACCAACTACAGGGTACATTAACGAGCCTAATCCTACATGAACCACTGTCAACCGATAAGAAAACTAGACTGCGTATGCGTCACTCTCGTGACCAACCTGCCAACAATAACCGAGGCCAACTAAGCGACTGTGACAGCGAACTTGAGAATCGCTTAAACACAACCTCAAGTTAGCAAACAGGTGAAGTGTTCGGGTGTTCTCCGAGCTGACTGATCTGGCTGCAAACGTTTCATCGTCAGGCTAGAAGACATCATCAGTGCGATTTATGCGGGCCACTTATAGATCTAAGTGATTACTGATCACTTGATTCGAACCTCAGGAGTCTATTGGTCCACGTCGGCTGACCGTGTAGTCAGCTCTTGCGTACTGATAGCTAGAGTTCGCCTCAATGACGTTCCTGTGTCCTGTTGATCAGGGGCGGAGTGTTGATTTGACCCTCAGTGCTTCATAGGCAGTATCTAACTCTAAGTGTCCGTTGATTGCGTTCTTCCCCGAGTACCAAGCCTCGATGAACTCGCGTAATTTTTGACTTTTGCCCTGCCTATGATCCTGACATTCTCCAAAGCAAACTGATGATTCTCGGCGTCCATATGTACCCACATCAGGGAGTTCTGGTCATGCGGCGGATGACTAGGTTATGCTCATGTAGTCTAGTGCCGAGCTTTCTTCCTGTCTGGCTCACATAGTATTTGTTACAATTTTTTGCAGTGGATTTTGTAAATCACACCACTTGTTTCTTCTTTGCCAAGCCGGTCCTTACCATTGAATAGCTTGTTTCGGATAGCTTCAGTCGGCTTGTGAGCAACTCTGATTCCACCTCAGAGACGTAGTTGATGTATGATAGAATTGTTTTTTATCCGTTTCTGATATTTGTTCATGCGTCAGTCGTTTTATTGATGTTAAACAACGTTCACGACAGGAATGCAATACATAGATTTAAGAAAATATATGTACAATTTAGTTCGCACCAATCTGTGATCAGTGCCACATTCAGCTCCACGCAGTACACGTGTCATGCGCACTTCACGCATATCACGCTGACGTACGATGACATAGTCGAGCAGGTGAGCGTGACAACTCTGTGGGTGCGTCGAAGTTCCTATATCACTCGCACTCAGTGCAAACCGAGTGTTCGTGATCGTCAGGCCTTGAGTGGCACACGGTAAGCAGCCTGTGAACGTTCGCATTCGCTAAACGAATGCCATGCGGACGGATAACATCTGTCTATACCGATGCATCACGCCCAACGCGCTCAGCAGAAATAGTCGGTCGCTCCTAAGCGCAGACTGTAACACGGAGGATGTGTAGTACTGATCATGTGTGTCATCAGGATGACATATGGTCAGACCGTAGGTGCTTAGAAAGGTGGCGAACTTACCTCTTCCGAGTAGTAGGCAAACATTCATCAGTCGCGCGTTGATGCCAATGGGCTCACCCACCAGCTGGTCAT